AATGTGTAGATAAGAAAAAAAAGGTCTTGTTTAAGGCCGCGTCATATTATGTTTTAGACAACATATGCAAACTTATTCATTTTTATGTCTAAATTACTAATAAAAGTTGTATATTTAATCATTTTGTTAGCCTTACAGTACAATCTTCAATGKTTTAAAACACAGCAGACCAGTCAACATCAACWTTCAWAGGCAGCTGTRGAAGAGTGTTTAGGGGAATMTTTCCTCTAATGCAAGARTTGGCAGTTCAATTCCCAGCAGGCATTTAGCCAGCGGAGCGTCAGGGCGTCTTTACGACACCTCATGGACACGCCTATATAACAGCACGAGGCTGCACACGTGCATTGATTTTGCCCGACGCCACAGCTCCTCCAGAGTCAATCTACAAAGATCACGTTGCAACAACARGAAAAGGAACGAGCACAACTTCCATATTTTYAAAGYAATTAACCAATGACAGACCAGTTTTGTCGAAACCCTTGCTATATTAATAAATATATGAATTTTGAAGCACTGATTRGTCTCTATAGATTGATTTGTACATGTTAGCTTTGTGCTGTATGAAWGGGTAAATGAGGACACAGATTGCAGTGTAAAGCACTTTGAGTATCCTGGTTGGRTAGAAAGGTGCTAYACAAGTACAGTCCATTTACCATTTTACACTCAAACACAGCTCATGCAAGACAAATTCAATTAAAAACACAGGAGAAATTAAACCAGGAAGTGAAAACAGTAGAATGCCTGAAGTCTAATTAAAATCTACAATAAAATAAAAAAATATTCTACTATTTTTTTAAAATAAATACATAAAGGTGAAAATGCACACTTAATTACATTTTGACTGAGATAAACAAAAACATTTTGAATTTAGTTTCTCCCAGCAGTGCTGCGTAGATATATTTATATTCTGTTTGGGTCAAATTATTGTTTGAATTTAGTTTTTTTTTTGTTTGTTTTTTGTTTTTTTGGAAAAAAGGGGGGCAGATATAAGATTTTTTCTTCTTTCTGCTGCCTTTCACTTTACCTGTGATTTGTATTTTTTTATTGTTTATAGAATTTATTTTGTTTTTTCAAATTAACAAAAACTTCTGACATGAAATATGTCAACCCGTTCAGTTTTCTCTGGTTTCTATGACTTTTTTTCTGAACTACTACGTCAAATTATATGCAACAGAACTGCCAAAAAGATCTGAGCTTCCTTTTTTTGGGATTTAAAGAGACAGCCTCAAAATTAGTTGATCAGAGACACACCTCAGAAAAGGGGCGGGGCTTGTGAAGTTACAATRAGGAGGAAAGCATTGTAGTTCCACTTTATTTAGACCCCGACTGAAGGATTTAAAAGCTTTGATGTGTCATCTTTAAGCACACGTCTTTCAGTAATCTCCCAAGTTCTCTTAAACAACTTTTTAATCACTAAAAAAACATTTACAACAAAAGTCAGTGACTGCTAAAGTTGTTGTTTTTTTAATTTTTTTAAGAAAAAGTCTTTCATCACACTCTTAAGGCATTTGGCTCGCTCTCTCATGCAAAACTCAACAACATTTGTGTGCTTTCAAGCACGAATAGCTTTTTCTCAGGTCTTGAAAATGCATCTCAGGGGACAATGGTCAAGGTGACAGGCCTGCAGAGAGGCAGGGTGTTTAATGCATTCTCTTTATAGTCTGTAATATTCTTTTTTATGTACAACTCRGTCTTAATGCAACACTTTTTAATTACTGTTAAAGGCCAATGTCTATAACCTTACATGAATGTAAAGCTGCAAATTAGATCCCATTACCTAACGTGATTAAACACCTACTGTTTGCTTGGTTTGTTTATCATGAAGCTACATGCTGAAAGACTGAACAACTATAATTAAGAAATGACAAACCATTACACAACCAGAGTTGATTAAAATTAACACCGACTTCARTGTTAGAGGTCTAAAACAGAAAAGACCAAACTTTCAGCAAATGTAAGAGAAGTATCGTGGGGGAAGATGAGATTATTTTGCGACTCAGACATTTAAAGAGCTCTTTGGAGTTCCCGACTGTGCAGTGGTGCACTCCTTCGTACATTTTTAATATGGWACCACACAACAGCTGACAGCAATAATGAGGCACCAGCTAAAGTCGYTGAATGGAAACACAATCTGCACAGCTAAACAAAAACACCTTTTAAAGGCTATTTGACTTTGTTAGACAGKAAATAAAAAGTAACAGGAAACAAGGTGGGTACGGTGCAAAACGTGTTTCACATAAACCTGTTCACACCTAGAACTAAAAATCTACTCCTAGCTATTGTTTGGCACTGGGATAGCAGTGAATATAGGTGTAAATGACYGTAATGCACATTGGATATGGTTTCACTCAGACCACCTATAGACCTATTCGGACGGTATAAGAATCTGTRGACCCCATGTAATAAATAAATTACYMCCCAACGTCTGTTTTTATGTGGCGCACTCGCATGGGATAACYGAAGCCTGAGATTTTGCTGAAATTTATGGACATCTCTCAGATATGAAATTGTAACCTGGTTTATAGTTGACAAGTTGTACATTGAGCCAAAAGTGCTCTGCAARGACGGCCATTCAAACAGTTTGTTCGTTAAACTTTAACTCTCTTATTTACAACATTTCACAAGTTATTAAGCRTTCTGCTGYGTGTCSTTTTGGAAAATACTACAACAATGTATAGCCAAGTATAAACACCTACGCTGCTAGTGAGGTAGCTGCACTACGAACACAACATGTTTTCAGCATTGGTTCTCTGACTAGAAATGGATGATTGTTTGATGGTTGATCCACCATCTATTGTCAACCTTAATTCAATTCAATTCAAAAATATTTTATTGAGCCTAGAGGGAAATTAGACGTAACTCATTTAACTAGAGTTATTGTTGATGCTGATGGCTGTGGGCAGGAAAGATCTTCTGTGGCGGTCTGTATTACAACGAAATGGAAGAAGCCTCCAACTGAAGACACTGTTTTTCAATGACAGTCTGATGAAGACGATGGTCAAGGTTGTCCAAAATGTTCTTGGTTTTATGTAAAATCCTTCTTTGCACCATTATCTGCAGAGATTCCACAGCCGTTCCCAGAACAGAACCAGCCTTCTTTATTATTATTATTATTA